TCGACCCTATTCCCATGACCTACAAAGAGCTTTACCATCAACTTATTGACACCCATGTAGTGTCACCATACCCGGTGGAACCCATGAAGCCCCCATACCCCAAGTGGTATGATGAGAATGCACATTGTGAATATCACGGCGGTGTCTCGGGTCACACAATTGAGAACTGTTACGCATTCAAGAGAGTCGTACAGAAGATGCGTAACCAAAACTGGATCGACTTCAACAACTTGGGGGCATCCAAGTGAGGAAGATCATTTCATCATTTGAGGTATTCTGTTTAAATTTTCTTTTTTTCTCAAGTTTTTTGTAAAAACATTTGAATAAATTTATGTTACTTTAATGATGACGAGCAATGAATCATATTTGCAAACTTGCAGTTCTTTGAATATCATTTGAATTAAGAAACTCTGTAAATGGTTTAAAGTTACAGATCTTTGACAAAGTAACATGATTTAGAACAAGGACTTTTGACCTTACCCAAATATACCCTCAAACACCGTACTCTGCTCTTGCAATCAACCAATATAACCTTTTCATTTCATAAGGTGCAGACACCATGGGGCATCATTTTGCATATGACATTCTATGGTTTTTATTTAATACGTACAGTGATGATCATGATCTTTACAGATGGAATAGTCAAGTAAGTGAATCTAGTTTAGGTCAGTTGCTTGAAAATTGAACTCTAAAGATGAAACTTTTGACTTCCAACAAACACCTAGACTATAACAGGTTCTTCTTGACAATCTTAAGAAATTAAATCCGTAAGGATGAGCTATTACACTAAGGCAATTGGTTATAGAGGAATCTTGAACGCCTTGGCCTTATGAATAGATTACGTTCAAACCATGACATTGTTCGAACACTTGGCAATTCAGTGTTTGCTCCACTGCTACTGTCCGACCGAAGACTTTGTGATGAGATGAACCCTTCAATTAACTTGATAAAAATGATTATAATGTTAAGTTGTCCCTCTAAAGCAATTGGTTAAACTCCCCCGCTTTATGGATTCAGCTAGCCATATAACAACAAATTAAATTAAATTTATCTAAGCAAGAAATTTTCGGTAATGATGGACTAAGGGAGTTAAGGAACACCTGTTATAGTCAACTACACACGAGCACTCAAGAATTTCATTTTTAGACCGATATTTTTGCACTGCCTTTGTTAGAGAAGCCTACAAAGATTGAACAAATGGAATATTTCAGAGGACCGAAATAAAAGGCTTAGTAATTGATCATGCTAGTTGCATCATTTTGTCTACACCCAATTGAAATGCAAAAGCATATTGCGATATTTAAAAAAAATGACATTTTGGGTTACCAAAACCTTAGAAAGGGGGCCAACCTAAAGCCAACTCATCTATTTAAACACTTGCCAAAGAGTTGTAACTCTGAAAGCATTAAAAGGGCTCTTGATTCCTTTGATATTTAAACTCACGTTTACAATTTGATTCAATTGCGAACAATATTTTACAGAATTTTTATAATTTTTCCTCCTAAAACAAGAAAAATGAGAAATACATTTTCAAACAGAACAGTCTCAGATATGAAAGGTCCGTAAAGCCAAAGCTCGAAAAGCAAATGGGGCATGATCGATTCCAAGGACCAGATTGGCAGACAAAACACGAGACTCCGTCCGAGAGATAAAACAGAGCTCATTCATGTTGCATGCATCTTAGGCATACTTAAGAGCATCACATTTATTATTTTTTCGTAGACATGATTTTTTACAGCTTTTAGAGCCAAGTTTCGACTTCAAGGTGAAGGATACACGATTTAAAAGCACCTTTAAAGATTGATGGTGGTCGCTTAACTTAGCAGTCAGAAGCTACGCCTCAACTAATTTTAGATGAGTTTGAGAACTAGTTCAGAACAAATCCAGTTCAGCTCAACTCAACAACGAGCAACATATTTCAAGTTAATGTCTTCAAGCCAGATTTCAATTCCACAACAGAGGATATCCGGCTGAAATAATTTATCAGTGGGCCTTCCCGTGAAGAGGAATCATCCAAAAAACACTTAGTTCAGACTCGCTCAAAGGAACCACATGAAGAATCATGATCGGCTTAGACCCGTAAAGGGAAGCCATTTTTTAAGAAACTATCGGCAGCATAACTCAAAGGTTGTCTGTTAGTCAAGACCTTCGAGTTCGACTACGCTCAGCTCCAAGGCACATCATTCACAACATAACTCAAGGCTAGAAGGGTTATCTGTGACCGAAAGACCTTCGAGTTCGACTACGCTAAGCTCCAAGGCATATCATTTGTAGCACAACTTAAGTCTAGAAGGGTTGTATGCCAACACAAGACCTTTGAGTTTGACTACGCTCATCTCAACGACACATCATTTGCAGCATAGCTTAAGTCGAGAAGGGCTATCTGCCAAAGACCCCCGAGTTCGATTACACTCAGCTTCGAGGGCATATCATTTACAGCATAACTCAAGGCTAGAAGGGTTATCTGTCACCAAAAGACCTTTGATTTCGACTACGCTCAGCTCCAAGGCACATCATTTGCAGCATAACTTAAGTCGAGAATGGCTATCTGCCAATGACTCTCGAGTTCGATTACACTCAGCTTCGAGGGCACATCATTTGCAGCATAACTTAAGTCGAGAAGGGTTATCTGCCAATCAAAGACCTTTGGGTTTGACTATGCTCATCTCCGAGGCACATCATTTGTAGTATAACTTAAGTCGAGAAGGGTTATCTGCCAAAGACTCTCAAGTTCGATTACACTCAGCTTCGAGGGCACATCATTTGTAGCATAACTCAAGGCTAGAAGGGTTATCTTCCAACAAAGACCTTAGAGTTCGACTACGCTCAGCTCTTAGGCACATCATTTACAGCATAGCCCAAGGCAAGAAGGGCTATCTGTTAATAAAATTGTCGAGTTTGATTCCATTCAGCTCAATGACACCACAATCATACTACTGTCCGGTTGCAACTGAGGTTTTCAAGTCGAAAAGAAGACATGTGTTAACCGTGCCATAGTGGCAAAAAACCGATTTTCCGACAGCATAGCTTAAGTCGAGAAAAGCTATCTTTCAACAAGGACCTTTCGAGTTCGATTTCATTCAGCTCGAGGGCCTGTCAACCACATGGTGGAGTGAAAGAACTACTTTCCAGTCGAATTTTTAAACAAAGGTCTTTAAACCGAGAAGAAGACTGACGCGGACTACAAACGATAAGCCATATTCCAATTCAAATCCTGAACTACGACTTCAACTCTATATTGTTTCAAGATTGACTCAACCTCGCGATGGAGGGGCCATCCACAACTCAATTCGACAGGGAGTTATCCTTTCAGAGTCAATTTTTCAACTCCACTAAACGAAAATTTTTGTCTTTTTGTCTTTGTCCTATTTTTCGTTCCACGAAAAAGGACAAAGAGGAGCAACTGTAGACATTCATTTTTGTCCATTTATTTTTTATTTCATTTATATCTATATATTATATAGTTTGCAAATAGTTTTTGAAAGTATATATATATATAATATATGGTTTTGAAAACATGTTTGAAAACATTTATATATATTATATAATTTTTAAAACATTTTGAAAACAAATATAATATATAGTTTTTAAAATATTTTTGAAAATATATGTATTTTATAGTTTTTAAAACATTTTGAAGATAAATATAATATATAGTTTTGAAAACATTTTTTTAAAATTATATAATATATAATTTTGAAAACATTTTTGAAGAATTATATAATATATAGTTTTAAAAACATTTTTTTTGAAAACTTGTATAATATTTTCAAAACATTTTGAAAGTTATATATATATTTTTGAAAACTTTTTTGAATATAATATATAGTTTAAATTTTTTTGAAATATATATTATATAATTTATATCATATAATTAATATTTTTTTATTTCTTGTTATTCATTTCATTTTTTTTTTTTGAAAACTTATATAATATTTTCAAAACATTTTGAAAGCTATATATATGTTTAAGATTTTCAATTGTTTCAATTTGGTCCTCATTTATATTTTTTTTGCAATTTGATCCCTAAATTCTAATTTATTTTTATTATTATTATTATTATTATTATGCGTTTAATTATTATTAGTATTATTTTTTCCTCATATTATTTTCATTTTAAAATAATTTTTTATCTATTTAATGCTTCTTTATTATTTATTTATTTAATTTTATTCTATTTCTCTGGTATATATAATTTAATATTATTATTATTTTCTTTTCCTTTGGTTTATTTTTTAGTACCATTGTTTTTTATATTTTTTTATCTTTTCATTTTTATTTATTTATTTTTTCTATCTAACATTTTTTTACCTTTTTTAGTAATAATTTCAATTAATTAGAGGTAAACAATTCGAGTCGGATTTCTAAATTTAAATTTAAATTTGCAATTTTCGTAATTATTCAAGTCGAAGCCCAATTCCGGACCCACCCGAAAGACGGTTCAGACAATATGGTTTTAGAAAATCGCTTAATTTGGAATAAAATAGTATCATAATATTATAAATATTTACAATTGAATTTAAACATAAATTCGAATAACTCGACTTTCCTCTAATTATATAAACTCGGCTCGAAAAAATTTCAAATAAAATTTGAGTTATAAAATAAAACTCACCAATTCGATTAACTCAAAAGTTTTGGCCACACTAGATTGTATCGAAGGCTAACCCCTACTCTCCACATTACAAGATAACAAACTGAATATGGAACAACCATCAGAATAATGCAGTCACCGGAAGAAACACAAAACACAGTTCAATTAAAAAAATTCTCCAACAAGAAAGTCAAATATTATATAGTTCTGTTTACCATATTTTACTCTCTTTTTTTTTTTTTTTGCCTTAGCAAGATTTGATCTTTTTCCATATTTCTAAACAAAACATACAAATATCTTCAAGGAGAAAAACCGAAATTAAAATTATGAGAAGGAATCTATACGAACGTTGAGGGAATAACGAATGCATAAATCATTACAGCAAAAGAAAATGCTAAAACATTACCGATTCAAAGAGCTTCGAGGGAGGTAAAGTAATATGCTGAAGATTTTGTTGATGGTAAGTGCTCGCTTGTGTTTTCTTGGTTTCCTCATAAGCTTACGTTTGGATTCAAGGAATGTGAAGAAAGTGAAGGCAAAGTCGCAAGGAACTGAAAGTAAATAATATTATATTTTCAAAATAAAATATAAATTTTATTTTAAGATTAATTATTTTAATTTTTTAATTAAATAGAGAGATATTATATTTAAACAAATGTTGAGATTTAAAGTCATACAAAATAAAAATAAATATGAATATCTTTAACAATTAAATTAATGGATTTCCATTTTAGATAATTTTTAAATGTAAAGATAAAATAATTATTATTTTTAATTAAATAGAGAGTTATTATATTTAAACAACGGGTATGACCCTTTGTGCTTTCTTTCAAAAAGTTCACGAAGACAAAGCTTTCTGTGGCTTGGGATGGCGTGATAAATTCATTCTTCAAAGCAGATAATATCAATACAAATATGAGGAATAATTTCATTTTACAAGTGGGTGATAACAGTTTGATACAATTTTGATCTGACATTTGGATTGGATAGCATCCGTTACAAGATCGATTCCCAAGGATTTTTACTCTGGCTAGAGATAGAACATGTACTATCGCAAACTTTGGTTCTAAAGTTGAAGTGTGGAATATACAATTGAGAAGACAGTTATTTGACTGAGAAATCGAACAATGGAATGATATCTGTTCAGTTTTACAAAATTTTAGGCCCTCCGATATTAATAGAGGTTGGGTTTGTTGGTCCGGAGCAGGAGAAGCCAAATTTTTGGTTAAGACCTTTCTTAAAATCCATCATTTGCCTACTTGAAACTTGGTTGTTTGGAAATTTAATTGTTTGGCGTGAATTGGCCTCCCCAATAGTTGAGTTCTTTACTTGGATGATCCCTGTTAAAATAGAGTTACTATAAAGGGGAATAACGTCTATTATGGATTCCTTTTATCCTCTATGTGGCAAAGCGCCCGAATCGGTTTCACACATGCTGTTCTCTTGTGCTTGTTCTTGGAAAATTTGGATGCGTTTTCTGGATTTGGGGTTAGCAACATTAAACATAAATTCATTTTTTTTTTATTTTTCAAAAAGACTAATATATAATTTCATTTTATATTCCAAAAAGACTAATATCAAGATTAAATATAAGATTTTTCACATTAATTATTGGTATCTTTACAAAATAAAAATAGAAATTCATTTTTATATTTCATACAAAAAAGGCTAAAATTTGTTGGAGAAAAATGGTGAATTACTTTGATGGATTTACTATTTATATTAAATTCAGAGTCCTTTTAAATATTACAAATTAAAGGATATTATTTGATTTGAATGTTAGTATGATAATTACTCTTTGAATATGTCAATTTAAAAAGGTATTTATTATCTCTTTAACTTTGAATATTAAAGATAATTATACACTTTTGAATATTAAAGATAACTATATACTTTTGAATGTTTCAAATTAAAAATAATATTTCTTTAAGTTTGAATAATAAAAGGAGTGTATATATGTTTAATTTTTAAATTTAAAAGATATTATTATCTGTTTAAATTTAAATATTAAAAATATCTTGTTGGAGTAAAAATCTCTTTAAAATCCCATATAAATACTGAGCAAACTTGTTAGGTTTTTCAAATCTCATAATTCAAGAACTTTTCTTCTCTTGAAAAATATTTTCTATCCTACTTATAAAAATAGTATTTTTCCTCAATTTTTTCAGCGATCGTCGATGACAATGATAGTTCCTGATTTCTACTGTTGTGCTACCGTATATGTTCATCTAGTTGTTGTATCATGGGAGACAGACGATCAAAAGATCTCGAGCACCAATGAGTGGCCAAAAACATGTCTTAAGGAAATTGTGTAGCATCAGACCTCAATTGATTCTAATTACAAGATAAAAAATTAAAAAAAAAGTATTTTTTATTTCCGTTTAATTCTCTTTTATTTTTTTAAAAAAAGTTAATATCTTCTTTTTAACTTTTCTCAGGTTCAAATTCGTCTTAGCTTGTTATTTCAGATAATAATCTTAAGACAGACCTCTCATCTTCTACCTTTCTTGATCCAAGATAATTCATAATTGTGGGAATAACAAGATAGTAAATAAATTTATTTCGGGATTTATTATGTTGTCTTAACGGGTTTACTAGAATCTCAAAGTGCACAAATCTGTATAACATAGTTTTTTTGTTAAAGTAATTGTGGTTACTGATTTTGTTTTAGAATATTGATTCTGTCCGATAACAAAATCTAAAATAAACGAGAATTAAATTTTTTGTTTATTGGAATTATTTCTAATTATGGTTTCGTTTCTTTTACAAAAAAATGTAGACAATAGACTTTACTGGTTTACCCAACTTGGAGACTACAATGATGTTTCCAGTTTAGAATATGAGTTAAGTAGCAATGGTAATAAACCACAACGAGAAGCCGACGAAATGCTACGGATAGAAGTTCAGGATGTGACAACAGAATATGTTTTTTTATATGACCACAATAAACCTCTCTAAGTTCTTGAATGAAGATGCTTCATCTTTAAAGAGGGAGAATGAGAGATAGATAATATTACTGCTTATAATATTATTGATTCTTGGAAGCAAACTGATTATATATGCCGGAATGTAATACTAAATTTTCTACAAAATTCATTGTATCTGATATATGTTGGTTATGAAACAACAAAGAAATCCACAAATACAAAGTTGAAGATGCTAGAGATAAAAAAAAATTAGTTGCCAAGTTCTTGAATTTTACAATTGTTGGCTCTAAACCATTAGTAAAACAAGTGGGGGAATTCCAACTATTGATCAACATAATTCTTTTTGAAAGAATTGTCATAGGCAAATCCTTTCAAGTAATCGCCATTATTGAAAAATTATCTCTTGGACGGAATGACTTCAAGATTTATCTGAAGTACAAAAGGAAGGAAATAACTGTGGAAGAACTGGTTGTCGGACTTTGAATAGAAGAAGACAATAAGATTAATGCCAAAAACCTCAAAGAAAGAATAGGCTAATTCAAACATGATGGAATTCAAAGACTTCAAGAAGGAAAAATAACTAAAAATATGTCAAAGTTTGGATATAATGCGGAATTTCCAAGAGGGAGAAATTCAAATGGATGTGCTTGAACTGAATGGGCACAAATCCTTTGAGTGTAAACATCTAAAGAAAGCCAAAGATCATGAGGCTAATGTTATAGAAAGAATAGCTAAGGATGTGGAGGATATAGATTTATGTGTTGTGATCTCTGAAGTCAACCTAGTTGACTCTAATCCAAGAGAAAAGTGACTCGATACTATAGCTAAATGTTATATATGTTGTGACAAATATTCATTTTCTGAATTGACACCTTGCAAATATGGGGAGATGCTCTACATGGGAAATGTTGTGACTTTTAAAATCAAGGGGAATGGTACTATAGTCTTAAAGATGACTTCTGGCAAATAAATCAAGCCTTCGAATGTGTTGTATGTACCTGACATACAGAAAATATTGTTTCTAGAACACTCCTAAGTGTTCACGGCTTTAAAATGGTGTTTGAATCTCAAAAGCTAATTTTTTCTAAAGGGGGAATATTTGTGGGTAAAGGATATGTATTGAATGATATGTGGAAACTCAATGTTATCTTTGTAAAAGCCAATAGCATGAATAAGAAAAATGTTTCTTATTTTGTTCATATGCTTGAGTAATTTATTTTATGGCAAGGTTGGCTTGGACATGTTAATTATGATGCTCTGTAGAGATTAAGTAACTTAGAACACATTCCTTCATTCCATATTAATTATAATCATAAATGTGAACATGTGTTGAGGTAAACTTAACAAGGACATCTTTTCAAACTGTTGAAAAAAATATCGAACTGGTTGATTTAGTTCACAATGATGTTTGTGACTTGTAATTTATTCAAATGAGATGAGGGAATAAATATTTTATTACCTTCATTAACGATAGCACAAAGCATTGCTATGTATATTTGCTTAAGAGAAAATATGAATCTATATAGAAATTTATAATCTATAAGGAGGAAGTCGAAAACCAAGTTAATAAAAAGATTAAGATGATGAGAAGTGATCATAGTGGTGAATATTTTGAACCATTCTGTGAATTTTATTCATAACATGGTATTACTCACGAAGTAACACCACTATATTCTCCTCAATTAAATGGAGTAGTCGAGCAGAAAAATCAAACTCTAAAAGAAATAATAAATGCCTTATTAAGCAGTTCTGGGTTATCACAGAACATATGGGGGAAGTTGTCCTTTTAGCTAATTACCTTTTACATAAGGTACCCCGAAATAAAAAAGACAAGACACCATACGATTTATGGAAAGGTCGGAAACCTTCCTACAAACATTTGAAAATATGGGGGTGTCCTACCAAGGTAATGGCCCTATTACCAAAAACAAATGAAAATAGGTCATAAACCATGGATTGTATTTTCATAGGCTATGAAGAACATAACAATGTGTATCGATTTCTTGTGTACGAATCAAAGAATCCTGAGATTCAAAAGAATACAATAATGAAATCAAAGAATGCATCATTCTTTAAAAATATTTTCCTTTATAAATCTAAGGAGTTTGATCAAAGTTCAATAAAAAAAACTTTAGAGACTAATAATGATGATAGTTTAGATGATCAACAAGAGAATGAAATTGAAATAGATCCAAGAAGGAATAAACGAGCAAGAGTTAAAAACTACTTTAGACCATACTTTTAACCTTTATGTTAGAGGATGGACCTTAAATGTATAATGAAGTTATACGATCCTCTGAAGGCACCATATGGAAGGAAGCTATTAAGAGCTAAATAGATTCCATCATGCAGAACCATATGGAACAATTGATAAGTACAAGGCAAGATTGGTAATAAAAGGATACTGACGAAATAAAAGGCACTGACTATTTTGATTCATACTCTTTTGTATCAAAACATCTATAAGAATGATACTCATAGTTATCACTTTGTAAAATCTAGAAGTGCATTAAATGGATGTTAAAA